GAACTACATTCAGAAATAAATGAGTGATTAAAAGAAAACAGTTAGGATGAGTTTAGCATTTCCTTAAACATTTTCCATTTGGTCACCAATTTATTTGATTTATTTGACTACTTTCATCACGCATTTAATTATTTATATATGTATTTAAACAAGATTACGTGTATTTATTCACACATTTATTTGCATATTTATTTATTTATACACACATTTATTTATTTATTTGTGTATTTATTTGTTTTTAATTTCTGCAGGTTTGGTCCTCCATACCTAAACAGCTGTATTCTAATTCTTTAAACACCTAAATGTACACCAAGAGCTAATCTTACCTACCATAGTTAAACTATCTATGTAATATTACTCCTCTCTGTCATTAGTGATAACTAACCCCTAAACATTGTGAAAACAAGCGTTGTGTCTGTAAACTGTCATAGTCGTACATTTTGGAGTTGTACTCTTAACAAACACACAAAATCTCGTATATGTAAACTGTCGTTGACGTAGATTTTGGAATCCAACTCTGACAAAAAACAGAATTACATACAATACTTTTAAATTACGCACGAGTAAATTAAAATGACACACAAATGCTTTGAATTACGTACGATTATTTTTGACAGTGATTTTATTCCATACATAAGAGGCTCCTTTTAAAAACATAAAAAAACTTACCGACCCCAAACATTTAAACTGTATTAGTATTAACTCATAGAGACATATCTTATGTCACAAATTTATGTTTAAAACAAAACAAACATTTCACACAATAGTCCAGACCTTTGATTCTCTGTGTTACCATGGTCCGTTCATATCTGCCTGAATTCAGCTCTTTAAGGACTTCCTGAATTTCTGTGATCCGTGCAGTGAACCTAATAAATGGATTCAGACTCCAGATAAACACACATACTCAAGCAGATGAAAGACAGACAGCAGGTGAGCACTGATAAGGATAGAGATAATGGATGGCAAGAGAAACAAGCAAAGAATGAATGTAGCACTCACCCGGACAGTCTGGTCATCTCTCTGCCTGCCAGGACGATTCTTCCCAGGGCCTGCGCCAAACTTATCAACATCCGCCCACTCTGGTAGTAGTCCTGCAGTGTAAAACAAACACAGAAGAACTTCTATCTTCTGTGCAAACATTTATGTAAGGAAATCATTATTGACCCAATAAAGCCATTTTACAAAGCCAGTCATGACAATTAAATCTGAAGAGATAAAAGGTCAGTAATTAAAAGTGAAATATTATCTGGATTTGCATACAGTAGCATATTGCCAGTGTATAGTGAAAGTGATTTACACAATTTTAACTGCTACAATAAAAAATATCATGTACTGCTTTCTGAAAATAAATAAAGCAAAATAATCAGCCTTATTAAACAGAATTTCTGAACGTGTTCATGCATACTCACTTCCAGCCGTTCAGAGTATGTGCTGTTCACATGCCGCTGGTTTGTGAGGTCCAGGAACGGCCGGCTAATAACCAGGTAACCCACCACCATGGCTATGTCTGGAGAATCAGAAAAATGTTTTGCCAGAAAAAGAGCCTTAACAATAACCCTTTCACACAAGGCCAGTATATAGGTCTATCACATCGTCCTTGGTGACATAAACAGTAGAAATATTTCAGAAGACACTTTGATTGAAGATTATGAAGACAAAAAAATGATTTGCGGTAATATAAACGAAAAAAAAAAATCTCTCACAGCAAGAACAAAAACATGCATTAAAACAGTTAAAGGGATAATTCACCCAAAAATGAAACCTGAACCTTCGTTCATCTTCAGAACACAAATTAAAATATTTTTGATAAAATCCGAGAGCTCTCTGACCCTCCATAGACAGGAAGGGTACTACCATGGTCAAAGCACAGAAACCTAGTAAGGACATCATTAAAATAGTCCGTGTGACATGGGTTCAACCGTAATTTTACGAAGCTACGAGAATACTAAAACAAAAATACCAACTTTATTCAACAATTCTTCTCCCGCGAGTTACCGTCTTCCGCCATTAAGGAGAGTACCACGACACATGGGCATGCTTTCCTCTAAACAAGGTGCAGCGCATGTGTGATCTACATCAGCAGCACCACACACATGCATCGCGATACTCTCCGTAATGCCGCTAAGGTGACGCGGAGGAGAAGAATTGTTGAATAAAGTTGTTATTTTTGTTTTCTTTGCGCCCAAAAAGTATTCTCGTAGCTTCATAAAATTACGGTTTGCTACAGTTATTTTAGCAAAGTCCTTGCTACATTTCTGTGCCTTAACCATGGTAGTACCCTTGCTGTCTATAGAGGGTCAGAAAGCTCTCGGATTTCATCAAAAACATCTTCATTTGTGTTCCAAAGATGAACGAAAGTCTTACGGGTTTGGAATGACATGAGGGTGAGTAATTAAAGATACTCCACCCCAAAATGAAAATTTTGTCATTAATCACTTACCCCCATGTCGTTCCAAACCCTTAAATGCTTTGTTCGTCTTCAGAACTCAGTTTAAGATATTTTGAATGAAAACGGGAGGCTTGTGACTGTCAAGTTAATTACACTGTCAAAGTCCAGAAAATATGAAAAGCATCGTCAGAATAGTCCATCTGCCATCAGTGGTTCAATCAGAATTTTATGAAGCGAAGAGAATACTTTTTGTACCTGAAGAAAACAAAAAAAACTACTTTATTCAACAATTTGTCTCCTCTGTGTCTCTTCGCATCACCGTAGCACCATTTTGGAGAATATCCACTGAACCCAAGCAGCGTACGCTCTTCTGTGTCAGCCAGGACACAAGGATACGTTTTCTATGTGTATTTATGCTTTGATTTGAACGAAAACAGTGCATCCCTGTGGCGCGGCTGATTTAAGTTCTCAAATATATCATAAAGGTTTGCACAATGAACATTTTTAGATATCCCTTTGTTCATTAAAGATAGTATTTACTTCATTTAATTACTAAACGACTTTTAATCAATTTGGAACATTGAAAGAGTTTCAAGGACAACTCCAAGAAAGCAAGATTGCAAACTTTCAGCTACCAATTGGAGAGAGATTTGGGCAAAGTGTAATGATGGCTTATACAGCTACAGCCACTTGTGGTACAATAAAATAAACCCATTTTCCAGGACAATCTTTGGTCAGGGGCAACCCTATGCTTATGTTTGTGCCATATATTACAAATACATACTTTTCAGTGTCTCACTGGCAAACAAGCAGGACAGTTCTCGGAGGGTCTCAGCACTAGTTGAAAGATATTTCCAATGGTTGTCCATCTCTGTAACAAGAATCTTCTGCTCCTTCTGAAGTCTCCTTACTGACATGACGATGTCGAATGCCTTTCTCTTTGTCCTTAGTTTGACAGAGTCTGGAATGCATGAGAAAAACTTACGTCATGCATCAACCTTCAAAGAATCTTTAAAATCATTTGGGGTTGCAGATTGACATTTGAAGCATTGTGGGTAATGTCAATTATGTATAAGAATTGTCAGAAGACTAGTGTACATACCACTGTGTGGTAGCTGCCATGGCCAAGCTGTCTCACCAGACAAAATGGTTTCCAAGCACAGAGTTTCTGTGTTTGGAACCATTTTGTTGTATTTCTCTACAACTGATGTCAGGATCCCCTTCTCCTCCCCGATCTTGCGGCGGATCCTGGCATGACCTTTGTTGCCATCTGTATCTTTATAGAGACGCTGGGAACGTCTCTTGATACTCGCCACCAGCACCTCAATTCTGCTGGCCAAGGCATCAACATCAGTTGTTGTTGTTGTTGTTGTTGTTGAGAAGAAATAGGTGGGACAAAATTACAAAAACATTAACAATTACAATTATTGATGACTAAATGTATTACTAGTAATATATATATATATATATATATATATATATATATATATATATATATATATATATAAGTCATTTCCTCACCGTCTGCCCACTCCTTTACATCATTGACCCAGTCTTCCAATTGGCTCTCTGTCACTGCAAGTTCGACTTTCATGGACTCTAGGTTTTGCAACTGGCTTTGCAGAGCTTTTGTGGTCTGCAATGACAAGCAATCACAGATAGTACAAGAACCAAATGTTCAATGCACAGCTTCAAACACTAATAACATACATTACTGAACATCTAAAACAAATTCTACTGATGTCATTACCTTCTGATATCGCCGGGTCAGTGCGGTGGCCAAATTGTTGAACTTTTGCTGATTCCAGCGCATGGCCATGAGAGTCCGCATGTCTGTGCGTCCTGCAAACACAGAAAATATCATGTTACCATATTCCCCCTACTTATTATGTAATGATGTAAGTAGTGCAGTATGTGGTCATTTGACCTGCTTTGGACATGTGTTTTGTGGTCACTGCAATCCTAGAGAGGAAAGCATTGCACTGTTCCACCTCCTCCCCTAGTGTTAAACCAGCCCCATCCTGATATGCCCCACTCCATTTCACCTGATTAGAAAACAAATAATAATAATAATGCTGAGAAAGTTTTGACATTCATTTGCAGATGTTCAGTTTTCATAATCACATAGCAAAGTTCACCTACCTCGCATTTAAAATCATGTGCTTTGGCATGGAATACCGAAAGGAAGGGCTTCATGTTAAGAATGTGCTGGAGCTATGGGCAGCTTTTTGCAACTCTTTGGAGGTAGGGCCAATATTTGCAGGTCACATCCATACAAAAAAAGTGATTTGCCTACTGGCCAACTTTTCTTGCAGGTACAGTGGATAGGCAACAATTTCCCCCCTGTACATATTTAAAGCACAGAGCAGCACTCCGTACCGACACACCGCAGGCTCCAATCCCTCCTCGTCTACCTTGCTGGCAGATCTTTGGGAGGTCTCTCTGGCTGCTGACCACTCCCCTCCACAAACACCTCTTCCACTGACCTATAATATGGAAAATGGTTGATGAAAATAAGACTCTCCTAAACAAACTCAGTAGTAGGTAATTGTAGTCCTATATATAGTCTAATCATCTGCGATTTTACATGTTTGGATGTCTTGTGAATGTAGTCCACAAATCTGGTCACATCTTCATCCTTAGCTATAAAGACGTCTTCAAAGATGTCCTGTTCCTCAGATCTAAAAAAAATAAATAAAAAAAAACATGTACAGAACAGGTACACAAAAGTTTATGATACATTGTAATCTAATTTTACTTGGTGCACATTAAAATATTTTTTTATTTAATATTGTTTCAACAGTGTGACATTATACACAGTTTGGAATACCTAGCTGCATTCTTGAAACAGTAATGCTTGCGGTTTCCATCTACTGAAACTGCCAGCATAACTGGGGTGCACAGAGGACAGATGAAGGCCTCTTCCTTGCAGATTTTGTCCACCTCATTTAGCACAGCCTCCCACTCAAAAAAATTTTTCTGAAAACTGTCTGTGGAGATCTTGTCAGTCTATTAAAATTAAGGAAACCAACAGCTAATAACGTACAACAAATACATTAGCATCAAACAGCTTTTCAACCCACAATACAAGAGATTAACAATACTGTAGGGTAAATAAATTCAATACTCACACAACAACAAAAAAGCGGACAGTTCGGTGATCCAGCATTCTTAAAAATGCTTGGCAGGACAGTCCTGGTGCTGCCATCTTCATTTCTTCAAATGAAAAAAAGACATCTGTGGCATAAATTGTGGCAAAGTGAAGGGTCGTAGGCCAGTAGTCACTTCGACTTAGGTCGACCACTCCAGCAGCCCAAGTGGCTTGGCATGGCTCACATCTCAACTCAGGCATGTTTAGATCATATCGTCCTGGAAAAATCAAAAACATACCCACTTTAATGTAAACCTTATGTGATTAATCAGGGTTTGGATTCTTTAAACAATTTTTACACTACTTTGTATACTTTTTAAACATTACTCAAAAGTCATGTGTAGATTTTACATACAGACCTGTGCCAAACTTATGGGAGTAGAGCATGTATAGATTTTTATCTTCACACCCTTACCATTCATTGTGATCACAGCAATAGTCTTCCCTAGGCTGACCCTCAATGACTCTGGTGAACAACCACACATTTTGTCAGGAATCTCCACAGGTACAAGCCGCACTGAAAAAGATCAAACATGTGAATTAAGATAATTTGTATTGACTGAGCAGTATAACATTGTAATGGTTCTACGGTAATGAAGTACATTGTTCAAAAAGTATACAAGAGATGCTCAAAAA